CCCTCAGCAAGATGGATTGACACAGTGGCTGCAATGATGGGCTCAAGCACAGCAACAATTGTGAGGATGACACAGGACCAGGCAGTGTTTGGTTTTGTTATACATAGAGTCCCTATGAGTTGGAGCTGACTCGACAGCACCTAACAACAACAGCAGCAACAGATACACCTGTACATATGTGCATGTGCATGTACTCACCTATACACATAAATGCATATGTAAGTAACTGCCTTTATAACCACATACATAATTTTTGATGGTTGTTACTGTTGCTACAAAATTGTGTATTTTAGAGCAGTTACTAAAATTATACCTTTTTCTTGTGTACTTCTTAGTGTTTTTATTTATCTTGGTCAAGTTGTGTAGACTTCATCCATATTTGGTATTGCCCTTCCCATCACCAAAAATTTAAAAAAAAGTCTACCAACTGGAAAGTGCTTCTCCTCCTTCTCCCTCCCATCCCTAGTAACTGTCAAAGAATGCTGGTTTTTGTGTGTTTTATCTGTTCTTGACCTTTTATAATCATAGGACCATGTAATACTTGTCCTTTTGTGATTGGCTTATTTCACTCAGCATCTGTCCTCCAGATTCATCCATGTTGTAAGATGGTCTACAGACTCCTCATTATTCTTTATAGTTGTTAGTATTCCATTGAATGTATGTATCACAATTTGTTTATCCATTTATCTGTTGACAAGCACTTAGTGGTTTCCATCTTTTTGCTACTGTGAATAATGCTGCAATGAGCATAGGTGTGCATGTGTGTTTTCTGCTCTAATACCTGGTGGATATATACCTAGCAGTGGGATTGGGATCATGAGGTATTTGTATTTCTAGCTTTTTGAGGAAGCACTGTACTGTTTTCCATAGTGGTTGTACCATTTTACAATTCCACGAGCAGTGTAGAAGTGTTCCAGCCTCCCACAACCTTGCCAGCATTTTTTTTTTTTCTTTTAAATATCACTGCCATTTTTGCAGGGGTGAGATGGCATCTCATTGTAGTTTTGATTTGCATCTCTTTAATGACTAATGATTGCAAATATCTTTCCATGTATTTGTTGGCCACCTGAATGTCCTCTTTAATGAAGTGTCTGTTCATGTCCTTTGCCCATTTTTTAAATTGGATTATTTATATTTTTGTTGTTGAGTTATTGAAGTTTTCTATATATTTTAGAGATCAGACCCTTATCAGGAATGTCATTACCACAGATTTTTTCTTAGTCTGTAGTTCTCTTTTTATTCTCTTGCTAAAAGTCTTTTGATGAGCCTAAGTATTTAATTTTTAGGGGATACCTACAGACTTTCATATTCTATTTTTCATTCCTAAGGATCAAGTAGTATCAGAAATAGTCGCTTTATTTCTCTTGGAAGTAATTTCTAAGTTCTGTATTAATAAATAAAATAGCTTTCTATTTCTTTAATCCTAATCCTAGTAACAACAAGAAAGGGACATTAGATTGTATTGACATCTGTGATGCAATTAAAATGTACACATCAGAATCCCAATAAATCAAATTGACTACAGCCTTTCAATGCAAAAGAGAAAAGCTCACTTGTGTCCATTTATTCTCTTTGCTCTTGACCTTCAAAGAATGTGAATTCAGAAGGGGCAGGCTTATTTTCAAGGACCAAGCCATAGTTATTTGGTAGGTGTCAAAAAGGCACTGCTTTTGGGATTCCGTTCCAAGTTCTACCACTGACTTGCTGAATTATCTTAGTCAAAAAAGTCACTTTACCTCTCTGAGCCTGTTTCATTATCTACAAAATGAGTGGTGAAAATAAGATTAGGGTTGTTTTGAGGCTGAAATGAAATAACGGATATAAAAATAACTTTTTGTGTGAACAATGGGTAAAATATAATGGCATATAATTTCAACTGAATATCCTTTACTTCTTTTGAGCTTTAGCAGATCCAGACAGCCTTAAGGGATCTGTAATGCACTCTGCTCATGTGGATGGAGTGGGACCTGTCAGGACCTGAGTCTTTGGAGTATGCTGGGAGGAGGCTGTTCTAGCAGGGAAGAGCCACTGAATAACAAGTGCTAGTGTGACCTGTAAGGAGGCCTTTGGATAGTTCACACTATTAAGTACTTGACTACTAGCTGAAAGGTTATGGTTCAGACCCACCCAGAGGTACCTCAGAAGACAGGCCTGGCTATCTGCTTCCAAAGGTCATAGCCATGAAAACCTATGGAGCAGTTCTACTCTGCATACATGGGGTTGCCATGAGCTGAAATCAATGTAATGACAGCCAACAAGTGTGACCTGTAGCACATTTAGTCCTAGGTCTAGTATTGCCATTCTATGTTATCTGCCAAATTCAGGTGAACTAACTTATAATTTTATTTAGAAACATGGAAAGGAGATTTTATAATTGCCCCTAAAGTAAAAGCGTCTGAAAAGATAGAACCAGAAGTGTGATTATCTGTGTCTATACGACCTCTCACATGAGACTGAATACAGATTTTAGCCATCAGGCTGGGTCACATCATTTCCCAGATTAAACCCCTGACTTTCTTCTCAAGAAGTGGCAGACATCTGGATTACCAGTTTGCTGGCAAAAACTTCCAAAATCAGAAAATGATTGAAGGTAAAGGAGAGATGAAGTTTCTTTGGAATTGGAAAAGACTTAAGGAAATGCATATTAACAAAGATACTTATTAAAGCTCCAATATTTATAAATCCCAAAGAAGCTTTTAGGGATTTAGGGATTTAATCTTTGACTTTTAAAATCTGCTTTCCATTGTCAGTCAAAATACCAGTGAGCATTAAAAAACTGCAGGGAGCAGTGAGACAGGCACTTCCACACTGCTAGTGGAAGTACAAATTGATATAGTCTTTTTAAATAGCAGTATAGCAAAGTATGTGAAGACTCTCAGACTCAGCATGTCACTTCTCATCACCTCCTTGCTATTGCCCTGATCCTGAGCCCTGTCTATCACCAGGGCTTTGCAGCAGCTTCCTAATTGGTCATTATGCTTCCCTTTCCTTGCCTCCTTATTTGTTTCCAACACAGACATCAGAGTGACCCTTTTCAAACATAATTCAGATCATGTTGTTATTTTGCTCAAAACCTTGTCATGGTCTCTCATTTCCACTGAGTCAAAGTCAAAGTCCTTACAGTAGCCCTATAAGGCCTACGTGAACTGATCAGCCGTTTCTCTCTAACTTCCTGTACTGCTAAACCAAAAACCAAACTCACTGCCATCAAGTCTGTTCTCACTAGTAGTGACACCCATTGGGTTTCCAAGGCAGTGAATCTTTACGGAAGTAGATTGTCCAGTCTTCCTTCTGCAGAGTGGCTGGTGGGTTTGAACTGCCGACCTTCTGGTTAGCAATCAAATGCCTTAGGCATTGCACCACCAGAGCTCCTTTTCTCTACTACTACTATCCTTGTTTCCTCCTATCTGTCCACGTTGACCTTTTTACTGTTCCTCGAAATGCCCAGTATCTGATATGCTCCCAATTTAAGATCTTTGTATCCCGTATCTGTAATGCTCTTCCTTTGGCTACCTGGTTTAGTTTACTATAATTTCCTTGAGTTTTTGCCAAAAGCTTAACCTTTTCAATGTATCTTATTCCAGTCACCCTGTTTAGTATTGTAGTGCCCCTCCTTCCCTCCTCTGATTCTCTAGCATTTGCAGTGGTCTCTACCCTGCCATTTTTTTCTCTTTTTCATAACACTTAAAGCTTTATTTATACTTAGTATTTATTGACTGCCTTCTCCCACTCCCTTAGAGTGTAAGCTCCACAAGGGCAGGAATCTTTGTTTTATTTTCTAATATAAGTCCCTAGAACAGTATCTGTCTGGTACATAGTAGATATTCAAATATTTCTTAAATGGATGAACTATAACATAACCAAATCCTTTGCTCTAGAAGTCTCACTTCTAGAACTCTTTCTTAAAGAAATAATGGGAGATGCAGCCAAAGGTTTAGTTGGAAGATTGTTCTCATAGCTTTTATAACAGTGAAGAATTACAAACAACTTAAATGTCTAAAAATAGGGTAATGGTTAGATCATTTGATAGCCACATGATGAGACATTATGAATATAATAAAAAATAATGTTTTTGACGTTTTAATTATATAGGAAAATGCTTATAATGCTAAATAAAGTAAAAAACTATATATAATATGCAGTAATGGGCTGGAACTGGCTTGTATGGGCTCCCTGGAGCTGATTTTGAGGCTCTCTTCCCAATTACTCATTCATTTATGTTGGTAGCTTGAAATAGGCCATGGTGGGAGTATTTACATTGCAGGAATTGGCAAATAATATAAAGATGGGCTACCAACCCCAGCATTCCACCTTCCTACCCTCATCCTCTTAAGCCAGTTGTTACATATATACCAGTACCCAAAACACACACACACACACACACAAACACACACACCCCACTGCCATCAAGTTGATTCTGACTCATAGTGAACCTATAGGACAGATTAGAACTGCCCCATACAGTTTCCAAGGCTGTAAATCTTTTCAGAAGCATACTGCCTCATCGTTCTCCTTTGGCACAGCTGGTGGGTTTGAACCACCAACCTTTTGGTTAACATTTAAATGCCTTAACCACTATCTCACCAGAGCTCCTTATGTACCAGTAAACTATTGAATATATACATATAAAAGGAATAGAAAACTGTCTGGAAGGACAGATGCCAAAATAGTAATGATGTTCCCTTTGGGGAGGAGAGTAGTCTTGCGGTGAGGGTGTGAAAGGAAACTTACTTTATACAGCTCTAGATTGTTTAAATTATAGTAAGCATGTAGACATGGATTTCTTGTGCTACTTTTTTTAAAAAAGGAGACAAAAATGTGTGTCTGTAGACTATGGGATTGGTAGCTTTTCCTCTGAGAGGCTGAAAGCTGGTCGCTTAAGTATCTGAAATGGCCCACAAAGAGTCTGAATACCAAGCCTGGGACTTGGATTCTCTTTCCTCTGAAATCTGCCTTTTCTTCTTGCCTGACTAAATGGGGATTTTCTTGTCTCTTTGTAGGTTATCCTACAGCCTACCCAGCAGCAGCTCCTGCCTACAATCCCAGCCTCTATCCCACCAATAGCCCCAGTTATGCTCCAGGTAAGGAGAATGTGGAAACAGCAGTGTTGAGTCGGGTAAAAGTGAGGCTCTTTTTTTTGGGAGGGGGGGTAGAGTGGACCCATCTGCTGGCCTTGCCTCCTCATTAATGGCTCTGGGCTAAGCCTATCCAGGCCTCTTTGTCCTGGGAGTTCCTTTTGGAAATTAGAGCAGATCAGCCTCAGGGTGGGGGTGTGGGTAGTCTTCTGCATACTGCTTGAGATTTCAGATTGACCCCTTTCCTCTGCTGGAATGTCCAAGACAGGCGTCTTCCTCACAGAACATTTTCTGCTCTGCTTTCCCAAACATTGTCCAAATCTATTATTTGCTCAGTTTTCCCTAAGGCCACCATTGGGAAACACACACACACACACACACACACAGAGCAGGTCCTGGGTGTGGATTTGAAAGAGATGAGAGACTTGCCATAAAGGGTAAAGAACTGGTTTTCAAGCTGAGGTGAGCTGCTTGTTTTTAAAAAGTAAAAAAGGCCCAACTCTCCTTGAATAGAAGTTGAAAAAGGTTTGAAAAGCTAGCAATGGTTTGCTGTCATTTGGCAGGAACAATGGTACAAAGATATTATTACTATCTTAATCTCTTCACATTCAGCAGTGCTTTAACCCTCAAAGGGTAAGAGAAAGAGGATGGGCTCTGCAGTTAGAAAGTCCTGGGTTTGAATCCTGATTACTCAACTCACTAGTTGTGAGGCCTTGGGCAAGTCACCTCGCCTTTCTGAATAATGTAACTTCCTGCCTTAGGGTTGTAGATGGTTTTGTGTGAAGTTGCTTTTCATTTGTTGAACACATATTTATTTGTTAAATGTCCTCCATACTGGGCTAGAATGAAAGGATGCAGTCTTCGCCTGAAGGAGTTTGCAGTTCACTTGAGAACCTGGCATATAAATAAATTCATTGCAATATAGTGTGGTAAGTTTTGTAAAAAGAATACACGTAAGAGGAGAGGAGGGAATAACAGTCTGCCTGAGGGTGAAAATGTAGGGGCAGTTTCACAGGGGGGGCTAACAATAGAGACTTGAGGGAGAAACTTGGAGCTTTTTTTAAAGTACACAAAGGCAAACATGGGCAAAGACTTGGAGATGTAAGAACACGACTGACACTGTTAGGAACCTAGATGTAGTGGTTGAAGTCTAACATGTGAGGGGATGGTAGATAAGTCTGAACTACAGATGTGCAAGGGCCACATCTGGAAAGGCCTTGAATGTCCTGATGATACCCACATTTTATTGTTTAGTAATTATTATTATAGAATAAGAACGCTTGAAAAGGCTTCCAGTTCAATGAACACTTCTCTTTTTAGGGGGCATCCAGAGAAGAGCAGTGTTTTCTCCCAGTTACCCAGTGAACCAGCAAGCAGCATATGGACTAGAACCCTTGGCAGATCTCCTGTCTCTCAGTCTCATTCTTTTCTATGCCAATTCAGGACTCATTATACTGTCATTTCCTTTCTTATGAGACATTTAAACTAAAGAACATAGGCTATATCAGAAGACCTATGTCATTTGAATCCTGACTCTCATCATTTCCTAGATGAGCAACCTTGAAGTCACCTGACCTTTCTGAACCTTAATTCCCCCATTTCTAAAGTAGGAAGGGAGCACTGGTGGCACAGTGTCTAAAGCATTTGATTCTAAACACAAGGTTGATGTTTCAAACCTACCAGCCGCTCCTTGCAAGGAAGATGGGACAGTCTACTTCTATAAAAATTTACCACCTTGGAAACCCAAAGAGGGTCACTATAAGTGGGAATCAACTCAATAGCAGTGATTTTGGTTTTGGTTTTAAAGTAGGAATTATATAATAATTCACATTATATATACATATATACACACACACACACACACACATACACACACACATACATACATATATACGTATATACATATATACACACACACATACACCATGATGTTCACAGACAGTCCCTCTTTTTTAAGTGAACAAGAAAATTTATGCAAGTCCTTACATAGATATGCTGTTCCAGGAACATTTATTTTGGCCCTATTATGCCCAAGGTACTCTGAAAGACACTATAGATGATTCAGAGTTGAAGAAGCCTATAGTCACTGTCCTCAAAGAGCTTTAGAGAGGAGCAGTGACACATGAGCTAAAAATGTATAATGGCATCTCAGCACTGATATTTTATTGTATATTTACTTTTAGTTAATAAAATACATATTTCTAAAAATTCTGTAATAGGCAGCAACAATAAAAGCTACAGAAATTCTCTCTGATAAAATACTTGATCAAATTTGTTAAGTTCTATCTTAAAAGCTATTGTGATTTTGATTATCAGGTAATTAAATCTAAATACTATGAGATTAACCTTGTGAATTAAACTTGGTAAACTATTCAGTCTAAAACAAAATTGTTGCAGAAGATTAGGTAAGATCAGGAGTAAAGAAGATTGTCTAAATGGTCAGAAGGCCACCAGTGACCTTAGTGGAAGAAGTGTCAGTGAGGTGGTGAGGCTGGAAACCAGACTGCAGTGAATTAGGGAGTGGAGAAGTAGACTTAGCAGATACAGACTACTCTTACAAGAAGCTTGGCTACAAGGAAAAGGAGAGTAAGAGGGCATTGATTAGAAGGGAATATGGGACTAAAGAAGGGATTTTTAGGGTATGAGCATGATTAAGGAAGTACAGATGGGAAGGAGCAAATAGAGAAGTCAGGTCAGAGATGAAGGATAAAGGAGTGCCATATGGAGCCAGGTCCCCAAGGAGGCTGAGGTAGGAGTGGGAAATCCAGAGCCAAGTGGTAGGTGGAGTTAGGATGCCTCACACAGGGAGTAGCTCTTCCTTTGAGACTAAAGGAACGGTCACAGATAGATGTTCTGAGTATAAGTTGCTTGGTAGAAAGTGGAGAGTTTTTGCCCAATGACCTTGATTTGCTAAGACAGAGGTAAGCAGAGATGGAAGAGGGGTTCTTAAGGAGAGGGAAAGTAGCAGGAGAGGAAACTACCAAAAGGTTAACACTGTTCTGTAACTGTGCCATTGGAACACCACTGAGCATGGAGTCCATGACTTTGTTACAGCTCTAATTCCCAGTACTGGCGTGTTTTCTTGTAATATTCAGCACGTCTGGTGATGGATTGTGGGATTGTGTTAGGATTAGGATTTGTCTAGAAAGATGCAGTGGAAGGACTGGGATTAAGCAGCTAATATTCATTGAATGGTTTCTGTGTTCCAGGCACTATTTTAAGCTCTTTATGAATATTAACTTGTTTATATCACAACAAACCCTTGGGGTCAGAGCTGTTGTTGTTATTCTCGGAAGTAGAAAAATGAAAACTTGCAGAAGTTAGGTAACTAGCCCAAAGATCCAAACCCAGGTATCCAAGCCCACATGTGTTGTTAACCACATTATAGTTAAGGGATTTGGCCAGATGTGTTAGACTGGAGCAGCCAGGCTAGAGAAAGAAAGGAATGTAGACAAGAGGAGCCTGAATCTGAAAAAATGGAGGGGTTGCAAGCTCCTTATGTATGAAAAGTATTGGTTAAGTTTTCATTTTTAAAACAAAACTAACCCTCATTTAACTTGGTTTTCTTCACTTTTATGTTTTAGAAAGTCAGTCAACATGCTTCTAAGCTATAAACTAACCCAGACCATTTTTGCAAAAAAAATCCACAAAATCCAAAGGACAGAGAGAATTATTATTGCATTGTTTTGGAAGCCCCAGACTGGGAGTTAGAAGACCTGGGATGGTAGGACTGTTCTGCTACTGACTTTGGTGTGACCTTGGACAGGTTCCTTTCCTTTACAGTTAAAAGTGCACACACATTTACACACACATACACATGTCTGGGTCAGTTTCATTTCTTGAGATGGTGGCCTTTGCATTATTCAGCAGGTCTCCTGACTGCAGTGGGGAAGTGTCTGCCATGAAGGAGCTGGCTCAAAGTCAGAGAGGACAGTGTGTAGGTTACTCTTAGCCTCCTGCCTGGGCCATCCCATTTGTAATGCAGAGAGAAGCCTGTTGGGGCAAAGGAGCCAGGCTCTCAGGTTTAAAATTTCTCTCAGCTACTTCAAGGAGACCAAGAAGTTGCTTCAGAGAGAGCTATTTTTAGTAGCTCTAAGTACCCTAAGATGTCATATGTCCCGGATACAGGAAAACATTTCACTCTTTCATTGGTTCTGAAAGCAGTGTGGTTCTTGGAGGTTTTTTCCCCCAAGCTATTAATAACTTGAGGGATCTTATTTAAGAACTATTCGACCCCATAGGAGGCAAAAGCCAACTGACATTTAGTTTTCAGAATTTGGAGACCAAAAGGTATGTAATACTAATAGCAATCTGACTTGAAAATGTGGGGGAAGGATAAATAGAATAACTAAATAGATAAAAGGAAAATACCTCCTCACAAGGAATCTGTTTATGAAACATTTTCATTTATTGTCTCAATAGATTTCACAGCAGCTCTGTAAAGTATAAATGCATTATTCCCATTTCACTTATGATGAACTGAGGGAAGGCAGGCGAACAGAACTTTTCTGAACATCTGCCATGTCCCAGGCACTATGCAAAGCATGTCACAGACATTACTTAATATTCACATCAGTCTTATGAGCTATATAGCTCCTTGCCTTCAATTTTTCTCAGGAAGGTTAAATAACTTGCCCAGAGTTTTACAGCTATAAAGCAGTAGAGCTGGTATTCAAACCCAATCTTTCTGACCCCACAGCCTGTACACCTTCTCCCAAGGCTCCAAGGAATGAAATGCCTCTGCATTGGTCCTAATTCTCTGGGACTTTACTCTTCAGGTACAAAATATGGCAATTTTGTCCCTGAACTTTCATTTCTTTAACACCTAAAGGCCCTGTCGTGTGTGGAATCCCTCTGCAGCACTTGGGAGAATTAAAAAACATTCTTGTTATGGACAAGCAAAGAGTAGAGTAGGAGCTTGGACTTGTCTACCTTTGGACAGCATCTGGGTCAGCTGCCTGGAAGATGCCATGACATCCAGGGAGGTGCCTCTCCTCAGTGAATGAGCTTTCCTGGATGGCAAGTCTGTCACCCTTCATGGTAGAAGCACTTTGCACCCTCTGGATTCACTATTTCTGGTGTAGCCTGGGGAAACTGCTATCTCAAGGCAAAGTCTGTTTATGTAACTGCAATGTGTACATCTTCCACAAATTCTTAGTGGTAATTTCAACTTACATTTCTATCCAACAGAGTTTCAGTTCCTGCATTCAGCTTATGGTAGGAGAGCTATTTTTCCTCATCTATATTATTTTATGGCCTATGAATGTATTATCTCGTAACAGTGGTAGAGTCCCTTTCCTACCCTCCCCAAATCCCATTCCCTAGGCTTGGGCTCCCCCCAGGTGGCTCAGCAGCAGTTCCTAAAGCATGCAGGAACATGTCTGATGGTGCAAAATCATGGGTTGGAGACACACATGAACCATCCCCCAGGCAGCAGTGAAGGGTCATAGCACTAAAAGGCGTCTCTTCCCCTCCTCACCTCCTGGGTCCGAATCTGACCTACGTCAGAAATCTTCACCCTAACCTGGCTGCTGAATTCAAACAAATGAACAAAAATTCCTGGGCCTATATGAGCCACCTCTGTTGGCTTTGTGGCAGCCCCTTTGAAGGAATACCTACCTGGTTTATGCCTTATAAGAACCCAAAAAACCAGTCTGCCCCGGGATCAGCTTTTTCATCTCCATTGGCAGTCTGACGTGTTTGAAAACCTGGTTGACTTTAGATGTAATTGATTCTCCTTAGGCCAGATCTTGAGCTCTGGACTCATTTTCGGGGCATTTTCCCAGATGGTGAGAGGTGGGGGCCAAGTGTGCTAATGAGCGAGAGACCAGAGCTGGGTTCTCTGGGCAGTGTGGACTCCAGGCCCAAGGCACCACAGGAACTTCTGGGCACCTGTGAGGGTCCCAGCAGTGTAACTTGACTAGGTCCTTTTTGTCATAGACAGGAAGGGACCATGGGAGGGACTTGCCACCCTTATCACCCTCACCTGGGCTGCTTAGGACAATGTTTTTTGTAAAATCTCTGTACCCTTCCTCAACTTTTAACCTTAAATTATTTGGATGTTGGAATTGAATTTGTGTGTGGCACATCTTCCAAGAGATGAGCTGTGAAATTTCTCCTTGCCACTGCTATAGACTGTGTGATCTTGGGCAATTTGCTAATATCTCCAGGCCATAGTTTATAAGATATAAAGTTTTTTATTCCAGATGATCTCTGAGTTCCCTTGTAATACTATCACTCTGTCCTCTTATGATTTTATTATTCTGATTTTGCTAGTCAGAGATTTGTTCCTCTTATCATTTATGAGGAGTCATGTTTTGTTTGCTCAGGATATATGAACTTAGAAGACTCCAAAAAAAGAGAAGCTCTCATGCTTCCTCACCCTTCCAGTTAAAGCATCTGAAATGGAAGTATATAAAGAATATGTATGGATCTCTTCACTTTACAAAATATTCTGTTCCAGGCCCTAAGCTGGCCTTTTGAAGATACAAAGACCAGAAAGATAAGGTTCCCATTCTCAAGGAGCACACAGTTGAGTGAGGGGGACAGACAAGCCAGCAAGTACAGGGGCATTGTGAGAATCACAGCAACTGGGTTAGTCAATTATATGGGATTCATGAGGGGACTGTGGTCAAAGAGTGGAGGGAAGCAGAACCTTCAGAGTAGAGTCAGGTCTTCAGCTCATGATTTTGGATGAATAAATGCTTATGAGGTAGAGGGTGGGGAAATACATGCCAGGAAGAGTAAGCATTGTGAGTGAAAACAGAGATGTGAAGCTCCTTGGCATATTCTGGGAATGATAAGCAGTTGTGTGGCTGTGGTGTAGGATTGCATTGGGAGTACAGTGAGAGAGGCTAGAGAGATCATCAGAACTAGATCATGGGGGCCCTTGAATGCCATACAAGGAGTAACTTTAACCTATAGGCAGTGAAGAACCATGGAAAATTTTAAGAAAGATAATTTTGTGATTAGGTTTAGGTCTTAGACATATCCCCCTAATTGCAGCTTGAAGGGTAGATTGCAGGAGGCAGATTTAAGAACAAACAGAACAGTGAAGAATCAGTTGCAACAGTTCAGGTGAGAGATGATGAGAACTTAAATTTGAGCTGTCAGCAACTGTGGGGATGGAAGAGTGGTCAAATCAACACTGGAATTAGAGATCGCAAGACTAGACAACACTTTATATTTTGCTTCACATTAGTACTGTGAAGTAAGCAGGGAATGATTATTATTGCCATTTTATGACACAACAAAACCAAAAGGTTAAGTGTCTTGCCCAAGGTCCCACAGCTAATAAGTGGCAGAGCCCAGGCTAGAACTCAGGATTCAAATAATTGTTCAGGATGATGGTCCCTTGCTGCCTTGCCTTCTTGTAAGTGTGCTTAACAATTGTTCAAGTGTCGGAGGGCGTGAAGGCCTCATATCTGGGGAAGTGAACAATCCAGCACCTAGATGGGGTAGCATGCTGTGACTGGGCCCATAGCCCTTCACTGCCAGAGGCTCATTTCTCTCTGTCCCTCTCTCTCTTTGCCCTTCCCTCTATCGCCCCTCCTCCTACCTCCTTTTTTCTTCTCTCTCTCTCTTTTTAATTGAGAGATAATGTATATACAGTAAAGTACATTCATCTTAATGTACAGCTTAGTAATATTTTACATATGTATACAGTTACATTAACCACAGTTCAGAAAATCACTATCTAGGAGTGGTATCTTTCATGGCACCCAAGAGTGAACATACCTGTCAGAGCAGCCTCCTCTATCACTGTGTTTTTGTGCTTCTAAAAACTTCGTTGGGATTATCTTCATCCCTCAACTTATCTTCGAATTGCTACCACCAACAGAATGTGTTACTTTACTTGGAGGAGGATCACATGGTACAGCTACTGAGGAAGTCAAGTCAACAGCTTATAGTTATTCTTTATAATGTTTATATTTATCTGTTTAAGTTTTTATGTATTCCATGTAGAGTGTAGGAGCTCTGGTAGCATAGTGGCTAAAGCACTTGACTGCTAACCAGAAGGCTGGCGGTTCAAACCCACCAGACACTCCTCGGAAGGAAGGTTGGGCAATCCTACTTCCGTAGTGATACTGCCTCAGAAACCCAAGGAGGGGTCGCTATGAGTCGGGGCCAACTCGACGGCACATAACAACAACAACAACATATAGAGTGTAAGCATACAAGGAGTCCTTGACCTCCTTGTTCTCTTTATAGTAAAACTGAAAGAAAATACCCCTTTGTTTAGAAACAGTTTGTTCACTTAATCAGTTAGAAAAGGCATAATCAAGGCACGGTCACACTTACATCTTTCCTGGTTAATCTGGAACATTATTTTACTGTGTATAATGCTGTCTTGTTCACTCCCTTGTTGGCGTGTGGCTGTGTTGCATCCCCAGCTAGGCCATAAGTACCTTGTGTGCAGTGACTGTGACCCACATGTGTTCTCGTCCACTGTGGCGCTCCCCTCAGTGCTGAGTGCAGTGTAGGCCTCAGTCACTCTTTGGTTACTTTTTATTTACTTTGTCACACAGTCCTTAAAGCTGATGTCAGACTTTTTGCTTGTGATGAAAATTATGGTAAAATATGCACCACTTGAGGGGGAAATTGGAATGGAATGGGACCTCCAAATTCTTCAAATTCCCTGCAGCCAAATTCAGGCTTCCTGCCCCCTGCTGGTGTCCCATGGGATCTTGAGAGCATGGGCTTGCTCAGTCTGATGTTTCAGAGCTACATGGGTTTTTAGAAGGAGTTGTTTTGGGTGGCCAGGGGCTTTCCAGCCTGTGTAATACCAGGTTCTAAATTTGGAAACATCTTGATAAGATTTTTCAACATTGATTGGATCCTTTATTAATTTTACTCCCTGGGGTAAAGAAATCCAAAATGATTGTTTGAAATTGACTCTGCTCTTTGTGCATTGTCTACCCTGGACTCTGAATGGTGTTCTGCTGGGCTCCATTTCCTCTGCCAGAATGATCCTTTTTAGTGTCACTTTCCTGCCCATGATTTCCTTCTCATTTCTCAGCATCAGCTGTATATATTGCACGCCATTAATGCAAGTGCAGAGTCAGCCCAGAACAGCTACAGTTCTAGCCTTGGTCCAACAAAAATGACAGAGTTCTTGACTTCCTTCATTGGCCCAGTACCCCCATGATTAAAGGAACCAGAGGCATTACTTATTACCTCTGATGGGCACAGGGCCCTATGGAATCTCTCTGGAGGTAGAATATGCTTATCCTAGTGGAATTAGAGGGTGTATAGGCATACTTTCTTCTCATACCACTCTCTCTTAATTTAGGCCCTTGTTAAAATATTTCAGGTATATCTGACTGTTGCCAATGCAGTTCTGCCTCCTACTAGTAATACTTTAAAAAACCCCACATCCATGACTCCCAAGACCTTATCTGAGTGGAAGAGATACTAAAAGCACTCTTTCTACCACAAGTAGAATTTTGGATCAAGAATATTTCTCTTCTAGTGTTTGAAAGTAACAAGGGAAATACCTAAAAAGTTATGCATATCTCCACAACCCTATTTCCTCTCACCTTCCCTTCAGGATACCATGAAGGTAAGTTTTTTCAGTCACTCATCCTTTAAATTTTTCAAGCTGAGTTCTGAATCAGCCTAGGATATTTTTCTGCAGAGCTCAACCTAGGCCTCAGCTCTATTTCACACCTACCCCAAGTTTGACATTTATTTTCCTAATGGCCCAAAGAATCATCTTTTGACTCATGAGTAGATATTTCAGATGAGGCACCCAGTAGTAAGCACATCAGCAGAAGATATTTAGGGGTATGCAAGATATGTCTGTCTGGCCACAGCTGGGCTGTGAAAAAGATAGCAGGCAGTGCCCCATAGGACAACTAGGTTTAGTGCCTCTGTGCCTTTTAAGCTGCCAGTACCACAGCTCAGTCCCTTTAAAAGAGAAATCAGTCCATCAAGGTTCATGAATATGGTGATTATTTTGGGGTTTCTCTTTGAAAGCAACTTACTAAGTACACCTCCAGATGAGATTTCAGACATGAAAAAGAGGGCTCAGTTGATCTGGCCAAATACACAGTCCAAGACCCCAAGTTGCTCCATATTGAGAAAGCTGATAAGGAATATCCCAGAGGCCTAGGCAAGAATGTCAGGAAGTAGGGGTGGTATTCATAGACATCCTTGTGGTTTTAGTAATACATAGAAAATCCTGACTCTCTTAGTATAAGCTCAGATTTTCTTTGGTTTCAAATCATTTGGAAGCTTACTTCAGCACCCCTCCCAACCCACCCATCTGTCTCAGAAAGGCTGAACCATACTGTGTGTCTGAATAGGGCCCCTCGAGTTATATGTTTTCATTCAGTGCAAGACCTTTGCTTTGTGTCTGTTTCATGGTGCCCACTTCTTATTTCTGCCTAATGACATTCTTGTGTCTTCCCTTAAGCAACTCTGCTGATGAAACAGGCCTGGCCACAGAACTCGTCTTCCTGTGGCACTGAAGGCACCTTCCACCTCCCAGTGGACACCGGAACGGAGAACCGAACTTACCAAGCATCTTCTGCGGCTTTCAGTAAATACAGCCTGTCTCTCCTTACCTTGTTCCGCTTGGTTGGGACTGATTTGTTTCTGAGGAAGAAAGGAAAGGGAACTTTTAAAAATGACATTTATAAGAAACTTTTAAAAAGTTCTCTTAACCATACAAAAATTTCACCTTGTCATTCAGGAAAGGTCATCCTCTTTGATCATGCATGCAGAGTTGGGGAGACACAAAGCAGTGAGTGAGGGAGAAGGAAGTATTCATCTGGCAGCAAGTTTGATTTGAGAAGGATTATTAATGGATTTTAGAGGAAAGGACAAAGAGCACATTTTGAAGGCCTGTAGACCTTGGGACTGAGTGGGCTTCTCCCCCTAGTGCAGGGTTTCTGAACCTTAGCACTGTTGGCATTCTGGACCAGGTACCTCTTTGTTGTGGAGGCTGGCCTGTGCATCATAGGATGTTTAGCAGCGTTCTTGGCTTCTACTCAATGAGATGACAGTAACCCCCACTGTGAAAATGAAAAATGTCTCTAAACGTTGCTGAATGTTCCCTGAAGGGCCAAATTGGCCCTTGGGTGAGAAACATTGCCCTAGTGGAAGACACACTATGTGAGCAAGGTATGAACATAGAGTCTTTAGAGCAGAAGACACACTATGTGAGCAAGGTATGAACATAGAGTCTTTAGA